GAAAAAAACGTTAAACGAAGCAAACGTTATGCGAGGCACCACTGTATAGATATATAGACAGTTTAAAGCCTATACTGACATTTAGAAAAATCAGAGGTAGTTTTGTTGCTGCAAGAGAACTGCAGTTGACATTTATAAAACATATAAAAAGGACAAATTTAAACTATGCATAATCAGCAAATGGATATTACTATGCTCTGACAAGAACATCACTTATCTCTTTTGTACAAGAACACAAAAACTTATGCAGAAAAAAATAGCACAGATTAAACTGTCATGTCAAATTCAGTAAAATTTTAAATCCATTTGTATTTGAAGAAGCTGCATTATGGAAAGTGGTAAGATCAACAAAGAAAAAATAGGTGCAACTCAATTATGGACTGCACAGAGTTAAAATGCCCTGCTTAAAAATCCTATACATTCTCCCATTTGCATACAAAGGAAACTCTGAAAACAAGGCTAGTTCCTATTCATTTCCCTGATGGTCTAAGGCAGGAATCTCCAAACTAGAGACATTTGGCCTGCCTTGCCTTCTTATTCAGCCCCAGCATAGGAAGAGGAGGGAAGGGGGACCGAAGTGATCCCGCACCCTGTGCAAAAACAGCGGGAGTGGGGGATCACTTCTGTCAGGTTTTGCTCCTCTTCCTATCTCTGCCTGGGCATAAGAAGAAGAGAAAAGCCTGATCTAAGTGACCCCCCACCCCCACTGTCTTTGCAAAGACAGTGGGAGTAGGGGATCACTTGGGTCCCCCTTCCCTCCTTCGGCCTTCAAAAATGTGTAATATATATACTGAAATGTTTGGAGACCCCTTGTCTAAGGCATTCAAGTAATTAGTGAAGAACCCCAGAAAAGGAGAGGTAAGCATTTGTTACCATATTCCAGAACTTGTCAAATGCAACCAAGAATCCAGTGCAAACTCCTCGAAGCCCTTTGAAGGTTCGGACGTGGACGTTGACTTTTACACCATCACGGACACATCGGTGAAGCTCCCCAAGCGGGCTGCCTTCATGAACTAGAATAAAAGTAAACCACTGTTACTTGTTGCTTAAACAAACCACATGGAGGGTAAAACACCATATGAAGGGTCAGAGCCAATGGTGCAATTATGCAGGTGAGACTGGTTCCCTCTTCTACCCACCCACCTCCTTGTAAACCCATCCATGTGCCCTCAGAATCTGTTCTGGAGGCAGAAAAATCTCAAAACAAGACTCTCCAGCTTTGTGGGGGATTGGTAAATTCAAACTCAAACATTATATACTCAAAGCATTGCAGAAAAATCTACTATGAAAAAAAGTAACCAGGTCAAACAGTAAACTGCTGGTGCTAAGGATACACGGCGCTTCAGCATATTCCACTGGAATTCATTCCTGACTTTGTGGAGAACTGGCATTCAAATGTGTAATATGTGGACAGTGATAACTACATGCCTGAAACACACTCACAAAAAGTTAGCACTGCAACTGTGTACACTGAGAACACACAGCTCTGCAATTTATTTACCTGCAGAATTTCTAGGTTATTACTGCTAGCTGCAGAGAGGCAGTGTTTCTAGAAATGGTAAAGATGCAAAGGAAAAAGACCAGCCCCAAAAGAAATGGACCTGGAAGGGAGGGCACACAATGTGGGTATGTTCTGTGTTGTCAAGACTTATTGACGTAAGGCAACTCTAATAGGGATTTCAAAGTACAGTGTTGCCTCGCATAGCGATTGCTCCGTTTAACGAAGAAATCACTTTGCGATGCTGTTTTTGCTATCGCTTTGCGATGGCCCCTATGGGGAAAATTCACTTTGTGATGATCGCAGGGAAGCGATCATCGCAAATGCCCCATTTTTGGGCAGCCGATTGGTGGTTCCAAAATGGTTGCCTGCTGTGTTGCCTCGCTTTAGAGGCACCGAAAATGGCTGCCTCAATGGAGGATTTTCGCTTAAGGTTAGTTTAGGAGCCCATAGGAACGCATTGAAGGGGTGTCAATGTGCTTCTATGGGCTTTTTAAAATTGCTTAGCAACGAAATCGCTTAGCAGCGATTTTTGCTGCACGGATTAACGTCGCTAAGCGAGGCACCACTGTATGTGCGATATTTAAGGAATGGTTTTATCAGTTCCACACCCCTGGTAAATTTCCATGGCTGACTGGGCATTTGAACCCAGGTATCTCAAGTCCCAGTCCATCATTCCACTGGCTGTCTTAAACAAAATACTTATAACAGTGAACATTCTTTACTAAGTTAAGAACATGACATATTATTATGCATAACTTTGAACTTAAAAGCATAATGCTTGACATAGTTATACAGTATATACCCACATACTTCTGAAACATCCATATGCACTACATTAATGACATACTGGATTGCAGCACTGGAGCAGGACAGAGTGCGACCTGTGCATATTCAGTGTTGCAGGTAGAAAGTGAAGGCTAAGGTGATCACCGAGATTTTACTAGGCATGGGGGCAGGGCAGAGTAGCAGTAGAAAATGGAAAACAGAGAAGAGGCGAAGCGACAGCAGCAAGAGCAGAGGGAATCCTGTGTATACTCCAAGTCAGCAGACCCCCCCCCCAGCAGTGGAAAGGGGATGACCTGTGCATATTCAGTGGCCGGGAGTTAGAATTAGCTGCCTAACTTTGTCAAGGTGGGGAGTCTGGAGAAGATATTTACTTGACTACATGACTGTAACTGGCCTTTTATTTCTCATGAGCAACTGAAGTTGCTGATTCAAGAGCAAAAAGAAATAAACAGAGCGGAGGAGAACAAAAGATTTAAAAATCCCAGCTAAATTGGGGGCAATTAAGAGACAAGTTAGATGCCACTTAATGTCTCTTTGAAATGTAGAGAACTTTATTTTCTAAATGGTTTTGTTATTGTATCTCTGAAACACCAGCTAACTTTCAACCACATCACATTTTTAAGAAATGAAACTTAAGGGCCACGTATAAAATCACTTTCTCATCCTCCTGTCCTCCCTCGATGGCACATATAAGCTCATAATATCAGCCATTTAAGAGGATTTGAGTTTTTAAAGAGATTGCTCAATACAGGTACTTGGGGAGAACCTGGGTGTTTATACACAAAAAGAGGGAAACCCCTCCCTTAAGCAGCTTTGCTGAGATCTGCGAATGTTGGATTATAAATTAAAACTGTCCCTGTCTGAATTTGGATAAACAAATTAGATGTGCTAAATGGGAGTTTGGGCCTGGACCTACCCATTTAACATGAAGACTGACTGGTTGATGGTTTTATTGCTCTATGGTCCTTGACTGAATTGGGAATACAGAGGGAAAATGGATTTGGTTGCTGTGCCGTGATTTGGAGAGAAGATGGAAGTACTGTAGAGGAAGTCCTGCTGGATTTGTAAGAAGCTGCATCAAAGTACCTAGACTTTTTAAAAACTGAATTATTAAGCTATTGCTGTGTATTTGGTATATTTGTGATATAAATATAATTAGGCTTCTCTGTGAATTGAGATAAATTAAAGCGAAAAGAGTAAATAGAGGTTTTATTTCTCAGTGGAAATTGTCATATTAAAATAAATTTATACCCAAGAAATGGCAGCTCTTAGCCAAGGTACAAGCATATCAAAATTAATAATTCAAGATTTGTTTAAGAACTATATGCAGGAGATTCAAACAAATGTTATCAACCAACTTACAGAACAGATAAAAGCCCAAACTCTAGAAATTAAGGCAGTAACTTCAGACTTAAAGAGGACGTGGAACAAAATATTCAGAAAATAGACAAATTCAACAAAGCAGTGGGAGCAGCAGAAAAAGAGCAACAATCAAAAAATACCCAGAAGGGGTCTATTGACAGATTTGTGGGAAATGCTAAAATTAGAATCAAGATTTAAGAAAGACAAAATAACAGGCGTTTATGAGAGGAAACTCCAGGTGGATGAGCTGTGAATTTATACCAGTGATAAGATTATACAAAAATGTATATTCTTTTGTTAGAAGATAGTTTAGAGGATGAAAGGCTGAAAGCAGGGATGATGAAATGGGTATAAAATTTTGGCTATAATATAGACACAGATGATGGGATTCAAATGTGGAACAATAACTATGGATGGATTAAATCAGTAAGCCTGAGAGAAAATGTTTTAAAGATGTTCTATAGATCAGGGGTCCCCAACCCCTGGCCCGGTGCCAGTTCATGGGCTTCCTGGAACTGGGCCATGGACACAGATCTCTGCCTCCGCATGGTGGGTGTGTCACACTCATGGAGGGGCATGTTGTGCTCGTGGAGGGGTGTGTCACATAGATGGCATTTTAAAACTGGCAAAAAGGGTGTTAGTGATTAGAATCTCATGCAAAAAATGTTGTCAGCAACTTTGGACTTTTTTTGTATAGGTGGTGGATGTGTATCAGAGTAAAATGATTTTGGAGACAGACAAAAAAGATATACAAGAAATTACACCATTAAAAATAACCTTTAAACCAGAAAGGATCTGGGCTCAAAATGGAAGATATATTAAAGAAAGCTGAAAATGTTTTATGATTGAGCCCAGAAACAAATATGAGTAGAGAATACAGTGGTGCCCCGTATAGCGAGGTTAATCCGTTCCGGATTAACCTTCGCTATGTGAAATCTTCGCTAAGCGGGAAGTAAAAAGCCATTGGAACGCATTAACCTTCATTTAATGCGTTCCAAATCGGCCCTGAACTTCCCACTTAGAGAAGTTTCCTGGTCCCGGGCAGCCATTTTCGCGCCCTCCCCTCGCTTGCCGAGGGCGCGAAAACACCGCGCGGGGCCATTTCGGGTCATCCGGCGCCCATTTTGGAGCCGCCGAACGCGGCTCCAAAATGGCAGCCGGACTCCCCAATCGTCGCAATGCGAGGTGCGGCGATTGGGTGCTCCGTATAGCGATCCCGAAAAAGGGGATCGCTATACGGATTCGTCGTTATACGGTGCGCTCGCTAAGCGAGGCACCACTGTATAACATATGTTATGGATTTTAGTATTGTAACATAATTACGTAACAATTACGGAGTCAAGATTATATTAGATATTATACTATTGTAAACACTTCCCTGTGTGTATGTTTTGCGTGGTGTGGTTTTCCTTCCTTTTTCTCCCCCGTACTTGTATTTGTTTGATTGTTGTCTGTTTGTTTGTTATATAATAAAATAAAATTTAGGGAAAAATGAAAAGAAAATGGAAACCAGTAGTAAAATGTGTATTCTCTATGTTTAGAAATAGTATGTTGTTTTTTATATTTTTATGCAGAAGCAAAAAGTACTTATATATTTTTAAGAATATGCCCAGAAAATCAACAAATTTATAGGACATAATAACTAAGGCATACAGACAGATAAGGATCTTGCGCTCTTGTTGTTGTTACATGCCATCAAGTCACTCAGACTCATAGCAATTCTATGAATGAGTGATCTCCAAAATGTCCTCTCCTAACAGCACTGTTCAGCTGTTGTAAACTCAACCTTGGGCTGCTTTAGAGAGTCGATCTATCTTTTATTTGGTCTTCCTTGTTTCTTTCTGCCTTCCACATTTCCCTGCTTTACTATCTTTTCCAGAGAGTATTATCTTCTCATGATGTGTCCTATACTTTATACCTCGGTTTACAAATGCCTCCGTTAATGTAATTTTTGGTTTACAAATGAAAATCCACTGAAAATAATGCCCCAGTTTATGAAATTTTTTTCGCAATATGAAGCAAGTTTCCCCAGGATGCACTGTGCCTGGGAGGTTTATAGCGCATGCCCTTGTGCATATGTTCCCATAGGAAACCGCGTTTTGGTTTGCAAATTTTTCACAATATGAAACGTTCCAGAGAACGCGTTAAATTTGTAAACCGAGGTACCACTGTAATAGCTCTATCTATTTGTCTGTCTGTCTGTCCATCTATAGTTTATAATATTATTGAAGACTTCCATGTTATGTTTTTAGGCAAGAAATATAATAGCCAGAGAGACAAAATTAGATATCCAAGTTTAGTTATTAATATTTACCCTGGATCATACCAGTTAATATAACCCTTGAAAATAATAGCGTTAACAGA